GGTATGGTGTAGTGAGATTGGGACTGCTGGGTGATGAAGTAATTGGTGTGGTATGTTAATTTAAGACAAGTCTAAGTTAGAGAAAGGTGAAGTAGAAGGATGATTACATCAAGTAATAGCAAAAGGGGATAAAGGAAGCAATCATTTGACCAGGTATTCTTGGGGGAGTACCTATTGGCCATCTGGTACTGACGATAAAACCAAACCTGTTAAGACCATACTGTGTGAATCAAACTTGTTTTGGCTGTCAGGAGGACTTGAGTGTGGTGTTTCTTGGCTGATGAGGGAACACTGGGATGTGTTGAGAATCCTGGAATCACTGTGTTAATGCCTGTTCCAGGCCTGTTGTGGCAATCTTGACTTCTGTGAGGGTAGAGAGGCCTTGCTGGGAGGTCTTGACAAATTAAAGGACTGGGCAATTGCCAATTATATGAAGTTTAATGAGAGCAAGTGCCAAGTTCTGTACCTGAAACAGGACAACCCGAGATGTATGTACAAGCTGGGGAATGATAGACTGGAGAGCAGCCCTGCAGAAAGGGGTTTGGGGTTCTGGTTGATGACAAATTAAGAGCCAGCAGTGTGCCCTGGCAGCCCAAAGGGCCAACCATACCCTGGGCTGCAGCAGGCCCAGCACTGCCAGCAGGCAAGAGGAGCGCTTGTCCTGTTCTGCTCTGCACTGCGCGGCCTCATCTCCTGCACTGGGTGCAGTGTGGGTGCCCCAGCTTTAGAGGGACATAAAGCTATTAGACAGCGTCCAGAGGAGGGATATGAAGATGGGGAAGGGTCTGGAGGGCAGGGTGTGTGAGGAGCAGCTGAGCTCCCTGTGTTTGCTCAGCCCAGAGCTGAGGAGCCGAGGGGAGGCCTGATGGCTGCAGCTCCTCACAGGGAGCGGAGGGGCAGCGCTGAGCTCTGCTCTGTGTGACAGCGAGAGGGCCCGAGGGAACGGCATGGAGCTGCGTCAGGGGAGGGGAAGCTGGGGGTGAGCGAAAGGGTCTGCACCAGGGGGCGGTGGGCACGGAACGGGCTGCCCAGGGCTGTGGGCACGGTGCGGAGCTGCTGGAGTTTGAGGAATGTTTGGATGCTGCTCTTAGACGCAGGGTCTGCTTTCGTGGATGGTCTTTTGCGGAGCCGGGAGTGGTGGTTCATGTGGGTCCCTTCCAACTTGTTCTATGATTCTGTGATTCACACTGAAATGAGGTGGATATTGAATTGCATGTAAATCAGATTAATAATTCCGTCTTCTGCTTGCTTAAGCAAAATTAACAAAACTGTAAGGTCTTAAACTGTAGAATAGGAATTTACAGTTTGCCTTTTAACCTTGATCTTCATGCCAGACACCTGTTGCAAAGCTGAGTGTTTCTGCTTTTTGGAATGCAAAGGCTTTGTTTTAACTTGGGCTTACTGGATAGATTTCTGTATAGGGCCAAAGATCAAAATCTTCTGAAGATGATTTCTTAATACCACCGTAATGTAATAACTTATTTGTTGAATTATTTCTGTGCTTTTCTGCTCCTACCAACTCTTCCCTGTGTCTCCCCTTTCAAAAAAATTAGTTCTTCAGTGCTAATCCTGGAGAAACAAAAAGCCTGCTCCAAATGGTAAGGTACTCAGACTGCTGTTTTAAAATGGCTGCTTGCTTTTCATCTTCTCCTGATTTTTTTTTTTTTTTTTTTTTTTTTTTTTAATTCTTTCAATAGTCCATCTGCTTTTTTTGCAACTATACTTAATGAAGCTTGTTCCTTTCCAGCTGTGCTCTGTATCACAGTCTTGCTGTGTGTCATGGCAGAGCTGTTGGTGTGCTTTTTTGTTTGTTCTTCTTCCCTATCTTGTGCATTCTTGTGTTTTCTTCAGAATCCATCTGTGGCTCTTTTCCCATTGTTCATGACATCCAGTAGTCTTTTCCTTTAAAACTATTTAACATCAGTCCTTCTTTTAAATATTATCTTTAAATGTATGATCCTGAGTACTGCTACAGGAAATTTAGTATCGGCGTTCATGAATCACTTCTGATTGGAGGAATTAATTTGCTTATTTTACGTGTGTGTGTGTGTGTGTGTGTGTGTGTGTGTGTGTTTCCCTTTGAATCCTTTGTATTCAGTGACAGCGTGCTTCCCGTGTAGTTGCTGTGCTAACCTGTGATGTAATGCTTTCAACTTACACTTCACCCTCTTAATCAGTGTTGATAGTCTGTTCAAGTTCTGCTTTCATTGTTACTTTAGCAGTCTCACACGGTAACTCTAGTAGTATCACTTTTTTTTTGGTGTTTCTGCTCTTTTGCACATCCCATAGTTTTCCAGTGCCAATAAAATCCTATATATGAAGAACAAGGGAAGAGTTTGCTGGGATTCCTTGGGGTTTTGTAAAAAGCGTGCTTTAGGGTTTCTTCTACCTCGGAAGTACTGCGTGCTTTTGAAGGCATATGATGATTCTGCTTATGTTTAGCTTCAACTCTCACTGCTTTTCCTGATTTTTGATACAATGTATACACTTTGTATGTATTTATTTCATTAAGCCATGGAAGAATAATACGTTTCTACTGTAAGTTGCCAAGTGGGCAAAAACTCCTAGATTCTTGTCTTTGTTCTTTTTTTTTGTATAGTTCAGAGGGAGAAGTAATAGAAACAATAGCTTTACTCAGTAACTCTCAAGCTGATAGTTAAAAATGAATGGATTTTATATTGTAGTATAAGGAAAGCACTGAGATGAAATTCATTTTCAGGTGGAGACAAATCTTTTTAAAACACATTCAAAGAATAATTGTGTTTACAATCACATTCACATTTGATTATTTTCTTTCAAAAATTATAGGAAAAAGAAGAGAGATGTGGCAGCAAAACTGCCCGTGGTGCAACCTTAGAATTAGTTACCTTAAAATTCTTAGTTACCTTAGAATTAAGTTAATTATTAGGAGACTGAAAAGAACCCAAACAAAACAAAACAAACGAACAAAAAAAAAAACAAAAAAACAAATAAAAAACCAAAAAACAACACAAAACCCTCAAGATAAAACTTTTTGTTGAGACGTTATTGCAAAATGTTCAGTTAAATGAAGATAATGAAGCTTAGTGGGGGGAGAACATCACCAAACAAACAAAACAGCCTGCAAAATCTGTTGTCTAGACTTCAGTTTTAGAAGCCTTGCCAGTAATGCAGTATTTAAGTTCTTTACAGAGAGAGTGGTGAGGTGCTGGAACAGGCTGCCCAGAGAGGTTGTGGATGCTCTGTCCCTGGAGGTGTTCGAGGTCAGACTGGATGGGGCTCTGGGCAGCCTGGTCTGGTATTGAATGTGGAGGTTGGTGGCCCTGCCTGTGGCAGGGGGTTGGAGATTCCTGATCCTTGAGGTCCATTCCAACCCTGGCCATTCTGTGATATTTCAGTGTTAGTGATAGAAAACAGCCAAGCTGGCGAAAGGTGGTGTGACATCAGGAATAACTGCATTGAGTTGAATCTTTTGTGTCTTCAATAGCTCTGGTGTATTTAAGTGTTGTCGATATACTGGCTTTATTTTGTCATTGTGAAACTGAGTAGGATTTTATTTTTCCGGACATAGTTTTTGTTACAGCCTTTAGATTATAGAAGGGCAGGGAACATTTGGACTTTTTGTGTTTGTTTTTTCCTTCCAATGTGTATTCTTGTTCATGTTGATGCATAAGTATAAAGAGGTACAAAAATCATTAGGGGAGCTCAGGATTTTGGGCCTCAGCATTTAGTGGGTGCTGAAGATACTTTTCTATGGCTGTAGAATCTTCAGCTTGTTGGAAGTCAAATAAGTCACTTCACATTTGTTGTATTGTTGTTACACTTCTGATATTTGATGTTCAAGTCTTTGGTTTGCACAAGGTTCAATTTATCTTTAGTGATGCTTGGTATGCTATTCCTAAATTGTTACTTATTTTGCTGTTGTATACAATATACCTCTAAATGAAGTTTGTACTGATAGTAAAAAAAAAAAAAAAAAAAAAAAAAAAAAAAAAAAAAAAAAAAAAAAACACCAAAAAACAACAAAACAAACAACAACAAGAAACCAAAACACCTTGATTTGCTTGTTCTTGCTTTAACACAGTATCACCTTGTTCTCCTTGAATTTTTTCTTCTATTATAAAGATAGAAATTTGTTACTTTAAAAATAGAACTACGGAATACACTCACTGGACAAGTTCTTATTGTAATTACTTTGTTCTGTGCTTTTTTATTTAAAACCTTAGTTGAAGTACAGAATCTGGAAAACATATTCACTGGAATATAGATAGTGAGTTTAAAAATACAGAACTAATTGGAAAAAATATATTAAAAGAAATACATAATTTTGTTATTCTGTGTTCTTTGGCGTGTTAATAATTTGAACTTGTTTTTACCCTGATTTCCTATTCCGAGTAAGAAGAGCTACTACCTGAAGTAGATACCTAAAGAATATTGTTTCATAGGGACACTTTAAGGCATCTTTTGTCTTTACATTATCAACGATTTTTCTGTAACTTTTTTTTTCCTCCACAATAAACAGATTTCACAAAAAATGTGTGAAATCTCACAGATTGCTTTAGCTGGCTGTGCTGTCTGATGAAGAGCTTTTGAGAGAGGAATGCAGCATGCAGAATGAAAACATAACGCTGAACTAAATTCCAGCGTGCAAACATAAAGTGTATTCTGCTTATGTAACTGCAAATCTCATTCTTAATTCGGATCTGCATAAGTTATTATGCAATAAAGCTGAATCTGTCTTGCATATTAATATATGGCAAGTATATTTAAAAGAAAAAAACAACAACTGGGCAGTAATTCAAAAAGCTACCTCATCACACAGTGCCTGTTATCACAGTTATCCCTACGGGAAGTAATTATCCACTGTCTTATTAATTCTTTAGAATTGCCATATAATTTGATTTCATTGGACTTCATAAGAAGACTTAATATAAACAGCTTTTTGCTAATTTGAATATATCTATGTATATTGAGAATAATTTTTTTTTTTTAGTTATCATAAAATATTTTTCTTTTAATAGAAGAATTACGGAAATTGAGTTGGTCTGGAGTTCCCAAACGAGTTCGTCCCATTGCATGGAAGCTGCTTTCAGTAAGTTTTACTTTTGTCTTCTTATTTAGCAGTAATGGCTTTCTTCAAGAATTGCAGATATTTTTGCCTGTGTTGTAATCCGTCAGTAATACTTGAAAGCATTTTCTTGTTGCTGAACTGTAATAAAAATTCTGTTCTTTGCTCAATTATAAGATGAATTTGTCAAAGTGAAAGGAGGAGAATGAGAAGTGGTAATAAATCATGCCAGCTGTGTACTTTTATTTTCAGCCTGGCTTTCTGTGAAAGCAGGACTTATGTGATAAGTAGCCTCTTTCAACCAGATTTGAGCCAACATTGGAGACTTGAAAGACAAGTGAATTCCTACAGTTTTCTTGAAAATAGGCGAGCAGTGAGGAAGCAGAGGCTATCTGTGTCCCACAAAAGGCTTTCATCTGGCTTGACATTACAGTAAGTACTAGACTCTCCGCAGGAAGGATTAGCTTTGTATTGAGGAAAAGCTGTGAAAGGAGCTTGGGTTTGGCTGGTTTTCTTTTTTCTTTTTTTTTTTTTTTTTTTTTTTACTTTAGTTTCAGGTGAACAAATCCAAACAGCTGCTATCAGTTACTTTGTGGCATTGGATCTCCTCCTCTTGGGCTTGAGTCAATTCAGGGAACCAAGCTGCTTGAGAAGCTGATCACTTGTTTGCTTTTGCCTCAATGAGTGCTGGCTCAGAACCTCATCTGGGGTTCTGCATTGGAGGTGGGAGGAGTTTGGAAGTGCAGTAGCTTGGGTGCAGATTGAAATACCATGGAGCAGCAAAAAAAACCCCCATACTTGAGTGCTTTAGACAAGGCAGCATAGGGAGCTTATGGGAACCTGGGGTTTGTTGGGTTTGATGTTGCAGAAGTGAACCTTTTTATTTCACTGTTTGTGCTGTTATTTATAAAGGGCTCTGTTGCAAAAATACTGTGTATTCCTGGCAGGAATATTTCTGGTATCAGTCTTTTCAGCTGTAAAACTTGTCATGGTAAGTGGTTGTTCATGTTAGCTGTTTCTTTGTACAAGGCTGAGAGAACTTGCAAAAATGTTTGTATTAAAGAGAAGCAAAAATCTCGTGCTGTCTGCTCTCTGGAGACTGTGAAAGACACTTTATCAGCAAATCTTCATGCATTTAAGAACTCTTTAAAATTCTGAGTTATATACACAACAGTTTAACACTATTGAATTTTTCAGAGAGTAGACTTAAATAGCTTTGCTTTTTATAGAATGAATTCAGCAGGGAACGTGAAGTATTTACTTCACATTGAGTTTGATTTCCAGTGACTGAAAGAGTCTGTCTTGCTAATGAGTTCCACTAAATTTGCAGCTTAGTTCCACTGATTCAAAATGTAGATGCAGCTTCTTAATGGCAAATATTTAGTGCTAACTGAGATTAAGTGGGCATTGTACAATATATTTTAGTTCTGCTTCTAAAGTTGTCCAACATTAGACAGTTTTATTTTTTGAAATTTAGGATGTCTATTGTAAAATATTCAGTCAGAAATTCGGGTCCTGATGGATGAGAGACTGAACATGAGCCAGCAGTGCGCTCTGGCAGCTCAAAAGGCAAATGGGATCCTGGGCTCCATCAGGAGAGGGGTGGTCAGCAGGGACAGGGAGGTGATTGTCCCTCTCTACTCGGCTCTTGTGAGGCCCCATCTGGAGTACTGTGTCCAGGTGTGGAGCCCTCAGTACAAGAAAGACATAGAGATTTTGGAAAGGGTCCAGAGGAGGGCGACTAAGATGATCAGGGGGCTGGAGCACCTCCCCTATGAGGACAGGCTGAGGGAGTTGGGCTTGTTCAGCCTGGAGAAGAGAAGGCTGCGGGGTGACCTCATTGCAGCCTATCAATACCTGAAGGGAACCTACACCCACGAGGGGAGTAAACTCTTCAAAAGGGCTGACAACAGCAGGACTAGGGGAAATGGATCCAAGTTGAAGGAGGGAAGATTTAGGTTGGATGTTAGGGGGAAGTTCTTTACAAGGAGAGTGGTTAGGCCCTGGAACGGGTTGCCCAGGGAGGTTGTGGATGCCCCGTCCTTGGACGTGTTCAAGGCCAGGTTGGACGGGGTCCTGGGCAACCTGATCTGAATGTGTGTGTTTGGTGGCCCTGCTAGGCAGGGGGGTTGGAACTACATGATCCTTGAGGTCCCTTCCAACCCGGGTGATTCTGTGATTCTGTGAAATTTACAACTTACTCAAAACTGACTTTGAAGCCTGATTAAGCTGAGGCTGAAGGGTAGGTTAAGTTCCAAATAATAGTGTTAAAATATTTGATTAAAATATTTTTTTAAGGAGAAAGATGAAATTCAATGTAGTGCTGAAAAGCCACTGCTATCACGTTTACTGTTAACAGTTTGAAAATTTACATGATTTATATCTGAAGTATAAGGAAAACAAACAAACAAACAAACAAAAAAAAAAAAACCAAAAAAAAAAAAAAAACAACCAGGCATCGCATCCCTAGAGAACAAGCAGAATTGTTCAGGCCCAATGTTGTTTTGAATAGCAGCTATGGCTGCCTTTGGAGGGAATTTGATAGATAAGCCCTCCACCAATTTATGCCCTGATGGTATTTTGCCATCCTTACCTACTTTTAAAAAAAACCTTAATTTTGTAAAGTGAACGGGAAACAGGATGTGTCCTACTGAAAGATGACTTCAGTCTTCAAAACAGAGTAATGGCAGAAAGTCTGCTGAGAAAATATTGGTATCCTTGGAACAATCACATTTGATCTCACAAATGAATTCTTTTCTAATGGAGCTAAGATATCCTACAGGAAAAAAAAAAAAATCAAACTGTTGAGAATAAATGTGAAGCAGAATTCAATATTTAACTAAGTTCAGAGCACTGGGACAGGATATTAAGTGTCAGTCTGAATCTTGAGGCAAAAGTTAAGGGGATGCAATTTGAAAATAGCCAGAATCAGATGCAAGTCAGTACGTCTTAAAATAAATGGTTTTGCTAAAGCAAGTATGTGTTAAGCCATCTAGAATGTAATATTTGTGCTTAATTTCTTGTCATGTTATAAGAAGGAATTATAATACAGCATATTTTTAGTTATTTTAGTACAAAGATATTTACATAAGCAATTGATACTCTAGTGTGTGGGTTTTAATTTTACTGTTTTTGGCAGAACGGTGTAGAAATGGGATTTGATGTTGGATTGTTGGAGGAGAGTAATGAAATCCAGGCATTTATCCTCAGTGCGTTTGATTCTATTGTAGAATCAGAAATTGTAGCACATTACATTTACCCTAAATCTGTTTTTACTTGTCATGTTAAGGACTGAGTAAGAAAGTTGTTTTGATAGCTAAATGCATAGCATCAAATTAGTTACTTGGGCTATGGCACGTTGTTCAAGTGCAAGCACGTGCTGCAGTTCTAACATCATAGAATGGCTTGGAATGGAAGGGACCTGAAAGATCATCTGCTGCGTGAGCTGGCTGCCACCCAGCAGCTCAGGATGCCAGGCCCACCAAACATGGCCTTGGGTGCCTCCAGGGGTGGAGCAGCCACAGCTTCTTTGTGATTCCTCTGAATGTTCTGTGATGTTATGAGGATTTAATTTATTATTATTTTTAGTAAGAAAACTCTTGGTTGAAAAAAAACAAACTTGCTTCCTGTGTTTTACTGATTACTATTAGTATGATGATGCCTGAAAACATGAAAGGAGAATTTTTGTAATACTGGCAAGAAATAATTTAAGTTGATATGAATAGCAGATATTAATCTTTTTTTCTTGGGTGGCTAGATCTCTATTAAAGCCATTTAGGTTTACAGAGATTCTTTTCCAAAGTGTAATTTTCAAGTCTGCCATGTATGTAAAATATGAACTGACTTTCTTTTTTTTTTGCCATATTATGTTTGAAATCAAGCTACACACGGGAAAGCATTAGCCATTCTTGAATGCTGAAGAAATCTTTCAGCAGGTAGTAACATGAATAATGATCCTTCTAGTACATTCAATTCATGTAATAAGAACATTTAATAGCAGTTGTAGTTCCTTTCTTAAAGTGATGACATGGTCATTTGAGACTGTTTTGAAGTGGCAGTAGGTTGACAGCCTAGAAATAGAGATCAAACTGGACAGAAGAAAATGAGAATGGATTTTTGTGGGAGGATGGGATCTTTGGTAGATTGGACGTGAGCTCATTGAAGGACAATTCAGATACGTATTAACTGCATATCTGACGAACAAATTCCTTAGCATGACTGTACCTTGTGGAAAGTAATATTTATAAACTACTTTTAGGAAACAACTAAGGCAGTATGTACTAATGAGCTTTATATCCAAGAGTCCAGTTTGTGCTGAAACTTTTCATAACCTCTTTAGATGAAAAGAAAACTTGAAATTATTATTTCTGTAACTGAAACAGAGAGTTAAAGTAGCTAGAATATTTGAGGCTTTTCAGTAAATACACCATCATATTATGGTTTTAACTATAATTTAAACAAGTATATTTGTAAGTGTCATTCATACTTCAGAGCAACTCAAGTATGCATTTTATTGAAAAATTGAATAAAATTCCTGAAATAAGGGCCATGTGGGGATGCAGAACTTAATGAACTCAAGTAGCTTCACATTTCTCTGAAATTGTTTTGAACTTTTTTTATTTGGAAGGCAAACGTCTTAGAATTCTTGATGAGAAACTGCTTGGAAAGATGAAAGACTTGAAATGTATTATTAAAAAAATGTTTTTTTTTTCTGTAAGGTCTTGGTTTCTGAACTTTTGTATTCAGTTACAATGATTAGAAAACTGATTTCCTGAGCTATTATTCAGACCAAAATAGGATTGCATTGTACTACATTTGTTCATTAGCTTTCCTGTTGCATATAATCAAATGCTAACTGTCCTTTTTGTGAAGCAGAGTAAGATCTTTTTCATTTCTTCTTTTTTTATTTTTCAGGGTTACCTGCCTGCAAATGTGGACCGAAGAGAAAGCACTTTACAAAGGAAACGAAAGGAGTATTTTGCATTTGTTGAACAATACTATGACTCCAGAAATGATGAGAGTCATCAAGATACCTATAGACAGGTAAAACAAATACTGAATTACCTCTTACCAACGTTAGATCTGTTAAGGAGCTTGAAGAGATCGTTTTTGAAATTTGCTATTGCTTTTATTTATTTTCTTAAGCTTACTTGATAATCAACTGGTCTAATCAGTTGCTTTCCTAGAATTTGGAAGCCAAATTAAGTCTTTCTCAAAATATGAAATACTTCAGTTTAATACTTAAAATAGTAGATTTCTTATAATGTTAGCTTTTGTCGTGCCATGCTTGTGGCTGTACCATTTATTCTGTTCCATTTAAGAGGAATAGAGATTTCCTCTGGCCCTCCTTCAAATGGCTGAGAAGATAGTACCACACTGACTGTTCCTTACTGGCTCCATATTCCTGCTTAAGAAGTTGAAACTGTATGATAAGTAATTAGCTTAAGAGTGTCCAAATTTCTTGCCTCTCCAGATAAGCAAGATAACTTCTCTTGAAGTTTTGTATTAAAATAAATGATTTGCATCACAAAGTACTGACTTGAGCACTCAGCCTTACCTTAGACTTCCTTAGGACAGATTAAATGTGTGTGCTGTAGTCAGTTGCACATGGCTTTACACATATGTAGTAGTTACGTTGTTAGGCATAGTTGCACTGAGCCAAGGAGTATTGATGATATAACTACAGTTTGCAAACAATCAGCTTTGGTGTAAGGATCTTAAAATGTGAAAGAAAATAATGGTTTCCTTTTCTTTTTTTTTTTTTTCTCCCAGTTAATAGTTTAAATTAATAATGACTTAAGTATTTGGTCCTATAGCTTTGAACTAAATCCATGTTATTTCTAAAATAATAATACAGTGGGCTTATAACTAATAGTGTAAAACTGTAAGTTTGTCTATTTTTTTTGTGACTTAAAAATTGTGCTGTTGGCTCTTTTTACAGTATTCTTGCTTCTGTCTAATTAGATTCATATAGATATCCCGCGCATGAGCCCTGAAGTTCTAAGACTTCAGCCCAAAGTAACAGAGGTAAGAATTATATCTGAATAATGTGAGTTTCAGGTGACTCTTTTAATGAATTTGAATCACATGTATGTGTTTGGAACTAATTCATAGCGTGGTTCCTTTTTCTGTATCTGTCAAAATCCTTTAAGGGTTGGAAGCTCTTATTGTAGATTATTCTACTTAAGAAATTCTCTTATCTTTGAGTTTAGGAAAACTATTGTGAATTTGACATTTTATGGAAATAAGTCATTATGAGATAGATCTTCCTTTTAAAATCAGTCTGATTATTTTTATGGCAGTTGTGTAGATTGTAGGAGGGGGTTATTGGAGGGTGCCAAGCAGAATGGTAGTGCTTGAGCCAGGAGCAAAACTTTTTTACAAAAACTCAGAGGGTGGTGACACACTGGAACAGGCTGCCCAAGGAGGCTGTGGATGCCCCATCCCTGGAGGCATTCAAGGCCAGGCTGGATGTGGCTCTGGGCAGCCTGGTCTGGTGGTTGGCGACCCTGTACTTAGCAGGGGATTGAAACTTGATGATCATTGTGGTCCTTTTCAACCCAGGCCTTTCTGTGATTCTGAGTGGAGTCCCTTGAAAGAGGAGGAGAGGGTTGTTGAAGGTCTTCTCACATATAGTTTGACCAAGTCTGCTGGACTTCTCTGTTGTGAATACTTTATTTTAAAGATCAGTGACTGTAGGTGTAGGTTTAATTAACGTGAATAGTAAAATTCAGTAGCCTATGATTTTATATATTTTCAATTCTGGTATTGTCTCTAATTGAATTAGGTTGAAATGGATGGTATATGCCTATTTCCCTGCTATGCTTGCGTTATTTGGGAGAAGCAATTTTGAGGAAACAAGATTGAAAATTACTTCATAAAATTTTCTTCACTTCTTTTATTGGTTATTTAAAGAGAAATAAAAAGCAAATTCATAGACCTTTCATGATTAAAGCTTTAGGGGTTTTGGAGTTCCTTTGGGGTGGCAAAACCCACAAGAAATTCAAAAATCTGCATTTAAGCTAATGGATTCTTCTTATGTATATGAATACAGTTCTTAATGTTATCGTGAATGAGAGTTAAAATGAAAAGAGAATAATTGATTGGTAATGACATCTCCTGAGATGTGGTGGTTCATACTAGAAAAGTAATTCCAGTTTCTGTTGCTGGCTTGGAAATCAAGAAGGAAACCTTTGGGGAAAGTGACTTTTTTTAATGAGTGCTATTTGAACACAGTGATGAACACTGTATAGAAACTTAAATCAGGCTGCCTTTAAGGTATTCAGTGCTCATTTTTTGTGATTCAAAGCAGTAAATGAAACTTCATGAAAATGAGCAGGAAATTGAAAACACTATTTTAGTGCATATTTGTTGAATTTCTGATTAGATGCATTTGGGGAAATTAAGTCTGGTTGCCAATTACTAAGTGATCCTTGCTGCTCAATAATTTACTGTTCCAAAAAAATTAATAACCCTCCCTTTACCTTAGTTTTCATATCTGGATTTTTAAAATGCTGTGAAGTCCAGGGGTATCTCAGTTTGAAGTGCAATCTGTGTAAGTTATCTGATTCTGAGGAAAGGGAAGGGAATGTTGGTATTGTAAATGAGAAATTGTTTGACTTAACTTGCCTTCTTGAAAAGCACTGTTTTTATCATTTCTGCCATGAGTATTTTGATAATTATCTACTGATTCTTTTTTCCTCATTATTTGTATATTTTTTTAATCCCACTATGTAAAAGTAAGAGTTTATAGCTGAGAAATAAGATTCTTGGCTAATGAGAGCAAGGGAATATTTTTGAGAATGCGCAATCGAATACCTGCTTTTCTGCCTGATCTTCTCCTCAAAACTGAAACTAGACCAAGCAAAAAAAAAAAACAAAAAAAAACCCCAAAAACAACCTGATGTCACTTCCCACTTGTGTTTTAAGTTGGATGATTCCCAGCACGATTCTTAACTATTCTCTTACAGTCTCAATGGTTTCATTTTTCGATGTAGCTGTAATGGATCAGCTTGGGCTTTTGTTGCATTAGTTGTTGCATGATGCGTTAGGGCTTTGTTTCAGTACCCACAAAAGCTTTTCACTTCTGTTACTGTTGCCCATCTTCATTGTTCTGTGGATTTGCAGCACTTTGCTCTTGTGTGTGCCAGGGAAACTAGGAGCTGGCACGTTAAGGAAAGTTGATTCTGAATGCATGAGGCAGGAGGGTGGATGTTGATGCTTGGAACTGACTTTCACAGGGAAAAGCATAAACGTGTTCCAGCTTCAGGTAGCACATATGGAAGCCTGTAATGGATCTTTCAAACACCTGGATGCGAGTCAGATATGCCTAATCATTTCCCTACCTGAAAATGACTGTAAAAGGGATTGAAGATAAAGGATAAGTTTTATTTAAATCCAAACTGGAGTAATTCAATTCTGAAGCTAACAAATGCTTCAAGTGAGAAAACTTGTAAACTTCCTCTCTTTATTGTGTCCATTCTGGGCAGATCTCTCAAATCATTGATTTCTGGGTTTGTAGCAAACTCTACTCAGTCTCCTCTGAGAGACTCCTCCCCTTACAAATTCTCTTCCTTTTTATTAGTACTGCAGCCTGCTATTAAAACTGATTTAGTCCTTTTGCTTGGTGACCTCTCATGCCTCTGCTCTGCTTCCCTGCCTGTCTGCACCCTTTTTTTTTTTTTTTAATCACATCTTCTTTGTGAAGAGCAAACTTTCTCTTTGTTTCACAAGGTTGTCCTTGATTGAGTACTGATAATTAGGGCAGAGCATGTTGTGGCTTCCACAGTGCTGCTCATGTGTGGCCTTCTGAAGCAATGTACTGTTTTCAGAAGTGAGCAGTCAGGAGGAGATTCTGTCTGTCACAGACCTAAGTTACGGTGGCTGTAAATTCTATGATTGTCCTGCATCATGTTCTTCTCATGCTGTCCATCCTATAGTCAGATTGTGTATGCTGTGGCCATTGGAGCTTTTCCTAAGAAATGTGGTTCAAGGAATTCAGGAGCTGATACTTATGTGATAAAGGGTTGTCTTATTTCTACCTTTCCTGATTATTTTTTTGTCTGATGTTTTATTAACTGGTATTTGTGCTTCTGAAGTCTAAAACTCAGTGCTGCAGTATTAAGCAAGCATAGCTAGTAAGGACTTTATTTTTTGGCATGTTATTCAAAAATTCTAATTATATTAAATACTTCTTCCTGTTGCTTAACAAGTAGGTTATTACATTGAGAAAATACTTGTTTCAAAGGGATATATGATCATGAAAGCATGATTTAATATTTCTGTGTAATGAAGAGGAATTTTATATCACTGGAAAAGCTCCAGTGAGTAATTGCTGCTCTGTTGTAACTGAATTACATGCAAGTCTGGTTTTAACATGTACTAATACCCTGAAAATGCTTTTTTAAAAAGTAACTTAGAAACATAATTAACGTTGGCAGTTAATTATGAACATAATTGTTGATGTGTGCTTTTATATATGTTACTATACTTGTAACGATGTGACATCGGGTCTGTTGTGAACTTTTCAAGTGTCTTGTTTAAAATGTGCTCACCACGTGGTAAATTATCTGAGAGTTTCTTTAACTCTTTTTCAGATCTTTGAAAGAATTTTGTTTATCTGGGCTATCCGTCACCCAGCCAGTGGATATGTTCAGGGCATAAATGATCTCGTTACTCCTTTTTTCGTAGTCTTCGTTTGTGAATATATAGGTAAGATTTATCATCATACTGAATTATGAGTTGGAACTGGTTTTTGGAACAGCGCATTTGTCTTAGTATGAATAACATTTTGGAATAGCTAATCAAGGCATAATTAGAGACATGCATTTTATTTTAAGTATTTTTGTTACAAATCTGTATGGATCTTTTAAATATATACTGAGAAGTGATCAGATTTTGTGTGAATACTCAGTGGAGTTCAGGATTCTTTCAGATATTTGTCAAAAAAAAAAAAAAAACCAACACCCCAAAACCAACAACAAACCTAAAAAGCTAACCAAAAAGCACTCCTAAAAAGCTCCTCCTAAAAAGCTAACCAACTAATAAAAAGCACTGTAGGCAGAAGAGTTGTCTTTTATCAGATCTGGAAGTTGGCAAAAGGACAGTCCAGCATTGCTGTCATCTTTATTTCTTAACTACAGAGCTGCCCCGTTTCCCTTTCTCTTGATCTTTTCTTTTTCTGTGATGGTTTAATTCTCTGTTTCTCTCTAATTCATACGTATCCAACCCACTGGCTTTATGTTTTTGTTGCTCTCTATTTTTGTTTTAATGAAAGATATTATAAATACGTTTGCTTTACTTATACATTAGCTATATTTTTATATGCTGCTCAAGACAATTTCTCTTCACTCAATGTAGCCTGGGCAAGCCAAAAAGTTGGATGCCCCTCTTCTGATTCATATGTTTTTGTAACAGTTTTAAATTTGACATATTGAATAATCTGATGTGGAGGAAAGAAACCCCCCCCAAAACATTTCCCTTGCTTCCTCCATTTGGTCCTTTGCAAAAAACCAAAAACCAAAAAACAAACAAACAAAAAAAACACAAAAAAAAACCAAACCAAAAAACAACCCAACCAACAAAAAAAAAAACTTGTCAAACCAGGAAAACTTTATTGAGTGGCAGGGAAATGAAACTAGAGAACCTAATGAAGTGGATCTGTGGCTGAAGGAGTGGCAAACTGGACCTGGAGGTTGAAAATTAAGGCAGCAGTAATGAAATTTCGTTATTTAAGAACTCCACTTTTGTAAGATTAAGAGCACTGATACCAGTGGTAGCATAAACAGTTGTATTTTTGTTGAATGTATGGCTGTATATGTAGTTATGCTTTTTTCAGATTTGTTACGTAGGAAACCAATTAAATGCTCATCTCTAGCACGTTATTCATGTCTTACTCCATGGATTAGTATTTAAGTCTTTATGAACATTAAACTTGCTGTTGATCATTAGCAGTAATTCAGTTGGCATTTCAGAATAGTTTGTTAGCAATTTGAATATTATAACACATATAAAAGGTAAGGTTCAATAGTATAAAAAAAAACAAATTGTTCAGCCAGCTTGAATTAAAACTGCTTTCCTTCTGTTTCTATTTGTCATACACACATACCATATCAGTGCTTATGTATAAATGAGCAACATGTTGTCTTGCTACTTCAGTGAGAATCTGTACAGTGGATTCTCCGTCTTCTGCTGTCTGTCCACAAGGTACTCATCGGTGTCTTAATCCAGATTGATTAGATTTAATGAAGGACAGTTTATCCTTGAGTGGATGAAAGACTACTCATTTACTCATTTGCATGGCAACACCTCTCGCATTGTTCGTTTCTTCTTTCATAGGGGGACATTTCATTGCTAAGCAACTAATGAGAACTACTGCTGCTTATTCCCTAATCATCTCTTAAGCAGGGTAGGGGCCCACTCCTGAGAGTAGTTGCAGTTTCTGCCTTTTCCTCCCTCATTTGACAGAAAATGGAAACGTTCTTAATGATCCTAGAACAGTAGGATCCCTAGTAGACTTTGGGGTTGCTAATTGAAATAAGAAGCTCAAATGAGATGTGATTAGAGAATTGATATTCCATGTTAAATAGACCATTTAATTAATATAGTAAATAAATTTGTCTTTACCACCAACTTACATTTGGAGACCCTGGTGATTGTAAATGTATTTGCCAGCTTGTCAGTATATTCATATAACACAGTATTGCTGTATCAGGAAGTTTGCATTGAAGGAAGACAGAATTTAAAAGCTAACAACTGTTAAAGATGAATGCCTCTGAAAAGGCGTGAATCTCAGGAAGCTATATACTGAAAGCTCAATTGAAAGGTGGTATCTGTGTAGAGAGAACAATACTGAATTGAACTATTTTCTTGAATGTGTAAGTGGTCCTGTCTAAATGCTAAGAGCACTTATTTCCCTCAGTGACATATAAAGAGATTCTAAGATTTGTCTTTAAAAAACCTTTTCTTTTGAGTCTTTCAAACATAACCAAGTTGTACTGAGTAATCCATTCAAGTTAGAATGAGTAAGAGTGTGGATTTTACTTAAACTTGAAATACAGACATAAAATTTATGAAGTACCTCAAAAACCTTGTGGTTTGTAGTAAAATTTTAGAAGTATTCAAAACTCTGAGCATGAATTGTGTTTAATTTAGATACGAAACATGCAGCATTGTATTTATGTCTAGCAAAATGATTAGCTGTTAATGTATTTAATATTTACTTTTGATTTTTCTTTTGTTGTAATTTTGGGCTCTGATTTTTAAGTGAGTGTTGGTATGTACCTTAAATTGCTTTATTTATTGCTTTACTTTGTTGTTTTTGTCGCAGTTTTACTGAAACATCTGTGTTGCACTTCTGAGTCATGATTCATCCTGTTGAAATTAATAATAAAGCCTTTTATTTTGGGTTTCTTCTGTAACAGGAAAAAAAAAAAAAAAGACAAAAGAGATTCCAAAGGTTTATTAAAGATTAACTGCAAGTTGTTATTATTAATAATGCCATTAAAACAAGTCTATGCTGATTAGGTTATTTCACAGTATATCCTGTTTAGTCAACTATTTTGTTGAGATAAAAACCCTGCTTGTTTTATCTTTGTGACAAATATATGAGAGAGACATTAATCCTTCATCTCACATCACAGCTGTGCTCTGCTACAGATGTGCAAGCCTCTATTGGAAGTGCCACTGAAGAACTTTAGAAGATTGATATAGCATGTTTAGAAGCGATAACTTATTCGCATAGTAGCATATTTCTCATTTGAATCTGAATGCCAAAAAATAGATTCATTGATCTTTTTATAAGGATCGAAGTCAGATATTTTTATGGATAAACTTCAGCGTGTGGTTTCTCACTTTTAGAGTAGGTTCAGTGACAGAATGTAGGAATTGAATATTTTAAATGCTGAGAGTATTCTTACACTGCTGGAAAGGTTGCAAGTATGATGAAAGAGTAACTTGGTAATGTCTCATTAGTTCTCCACTCTGCAATAAAAGCAGAATATTGTATCATTTTCAGCAAGATAAAACTGGTGTCAAACCAAGCCAAGAGAGGCACAACTGCAGATACAGAATATTTTAAAGAAGAATGGTAGTCTTGCTGGCTCCTGCTGGAATATGATAGGCTTAAGATTTCTGGCGTAAATTAGGAGAAGAATGAATTTAAATTTTAGGATTTTTTTAACAACAAGATTTGGTGTTGATCTAATGTTTGTTTGTTTGATTTTTCCATTGAGAAGTGCTAATAGTTTGTGTGCTTATTCTGCTGTGATATAGCAGTTTCTTTGGGATTTCCAGCATTGGTGGTATGGGAAAACTACTTCATGTCAATCCTAACCTCTTATATGACATAGCACTAATACATTCTCTGATTTTAGGATTAATGCTAATTAATTTCATGGTAAATTTTTTACGTCAAACTGAATCCTGTCCATTTGGATACAAATCTAGAGGCATTTTTTGTTATTGTGTTAAGATTCATTATCTGACTGCTCCCTGTTCACTGACACAATGTGAACAAAGAAATTTTACACTGGATTGGATTTTCTGTTTCAAGCTGCCAGACACTGTTCTCTTTATACAATTCTGTGTTATTTGGAGTTCCTGTTGATCTATGTTGTTTCTAAATTTTGCTGTTCTGCATGGTAGCTTTTGATTTCTTACTCATGGAGTCAGCTATGTTCTGTTGCATTTCATATTTCAGTAGTTCACTGGGCCTCATGTGTACACCTAGAACCACATGGAGGACCTGAATTTACTCCCATCCACAGAGAAAAAAGATCAGGGGAATCACCATCATAAGGACACATCTCAGGCCATTGCTAAATGGGGTAGCTGTATAAAATTACTTTCCAACAGCTAACAGTGTTGGATCAAGGAAATCAGGAGTTAACAGCAAGTCAAGGGCAGAAAATGAACACTATTGTGGCACTTCATCATTTTATATCAGATAAAGAGCATCAAGAAAAATGAGGCTGCTGAAGACTGGAATGATGCTCAAGATCTTGCCTACAATTTTCTCGCAATAAAGGAGCTCAGGACGATTTGAAGATGCTCACGAGAACTCGTGAACTGAAAACTTTGGAAACAGCAGTCTTACCCCTGTAAGTATTTTTCTTGTAATCTTAAATTTTACACGTGGTTTGGTACCTGTGTTTTTATAAATCGCTGCTGCCATATGACTTCATGAAGTAATTTTTTCTGGCCCAGATTGTAATGGGATCGGAAAGGGATTTAGTTTAGAGTATCATTAGTGTGTGAACATACAGGTTGGTTGATCCTGTAAAAGCCATCATCCATCTGCCTGTATGCCCTTCACTTTTATTTCCATTCCCTCTCATATAGTATGGGAAATGTTCCTGTTTTAACACAAGCATTCATACTGATTATCACCTTCTTTCACTCTTTTTTGGCATATCTGCAGAAAATGAATTTTAAAACATCCTGTTTTTTTTCCACAGTTCATTGAGCGCTGTATCTAAAATTACAATTTTCATAATATGATTGACGTAATGTTTCAGAGCATTGCATCATGGCTGAATCTGAGGTAATTCCTCAGTATTTATTTATAGAATAAGAAAAAAAAGTAAATTTCCTGCATACATTCTTTCCAGAAAGAAGAGTTATAATTTTTATGTAGTAAATAAATCTGTTTAGAAGGTATGTAAAATTGAATTTCTGACTGATGAGATGGTAAGCCATAAATCAAATAGTAT